CTCATTCGGTACATTAATTAAGTTTTGTTCTATGGAATCTTCTAGCTAATTTTCATCAACACGATATGCCAGAACCACCGTCACCGCCTTCGAGGCTCTTGCCAACCCTATATCTGCCTACTTAAATCGCGCTGAACTGAATATGTGTTTTCAAAGCTCTGAAAAAAGTGAGAGACATTTCAGAGCAGAGCTGACAGTATCATCAGATAGAGGAAAAGGCGCTTTTAAATGATGTGGAAAATCTAGCGGTCTGGCGAAAATTTAATCAGAACGAATGCGTTGAAACTTGAGCGTCAAAAACGGCAAGAACTTTTTTACAATCTAATAACTGCCGGCTGCCAACATTCGCTCCCATGTCTTCCCGAAGTTGCGCGGTATGTTGAACTGAGTTCACTGACTAGAACACCATCATCGTAGGGGATCGTATCTATCATTGCATAAATAGGTTGTCCGATACGTAGCATTTTTTAATCAAGCGGAAATTTTTCCTTCAATAGGTTATGCTTGCACACAATGCCATATACCATTAGAAAGTGAATTGCTTGTTCTATAGACCAAAATGTATATGGAACAAATTCGTTTCAATATCAATTGTGAAGTGAATAGATTACAGCTTTACAAAGTGGTGTCCCCATTAGAACGAAAATTAGCCAAAGCGGCAACTGACTCAAACTCTACGTTCTTCGGGAAGAAACCAATCTAACATTCCACATTGAACCGTACATCTAGTCCTGAAATTCTTTTTTTGACTTTCGTTTTTCCAACCAACGTCTATAACGTGGTAGTTGATTTAGATCAGAATTTTCCTATGAAGGTCAATGAATATGACGGCATTACTTGAGAGAAATTTCCCTTTGAAAATCATCGGGTGATGTGCCCCGTACTCAGTTACAACTGATTTCAGGCGTTCCAGCGGTTTTCAGTGTTTCGGCGGTAAAAACTTTTGGGTTTAGATTTGAAGGGCTAGTGTTTAACCATCGAGTTCTGGCGAGATAACCAAATGTAAAAAATAAGGACACCAGGTGTTGGACAGTCTAAAAGGAGAATGTTGAGTTGAGTAGACATGATCTGACTGATTTCTTCTGGGGAAATGAAGACTTTAAGCTAGGGTCGGTTTGGCTATTTTTCTCTACAGGACCCTCCATTTTGCCTACAATTCAGACTGTTTACGACGAATATTGAAGCGATACAAGGTGTTTAAGCAGACAATTCCCTTTCGCATGGTTTTTAACACATTGACGACAACGCGGGGGATATATATCCCGCGCATTGCAGGCCATGTCGGACCGTGCGGGATATATATCCCCCGCACCCATTACACTCATTTTTTTCGCGCACGCCTGA